AAAAAATGCCAGTGTTGGCTTAAGTCTGCTCTGCTGGAAGTCCGTAACAGAATTATTACTGACTTCAGCTGGAGTGGGCTTAGCTCCGTGCTGAGCGCTCTTGGGAATGGTGCTCTCTATCTTCGTTGCCCTTATGGTTGGGAAGAAAATGTTTGAAACGTTGCATAAAGCAGAATTTTGCAGAGCTGGGAACAACAGCTCCGAGATATGAGAACTGTCTCATTTGTCAGGATGACAATAAAAATGTAGCGCCCATTTCTGCTTCATCTTTGAATGTGGCTGTGTAATGAGGCAGAAGTATTGGAAGCTACCCAGGTCTTGTCCTGGTCTTGGGCTTCTGCTCATACTGCTGAACCAGTGTTTACATTGGAAGCACTTTGCTGAAGTTCCTGACTATAAAGGTTGTGGAAAGATGAACACACACTGCAGCTGAATTGGCATCTGTTTTGTATCCTTGTGTAAATTACATCAGCATCAGGAAGAGACATGCAGCTGTCTGGTAACTCACTAAGCAGCTCTTACTGCGAGTCCCAGCTAGGTGGCAGGGGCACAGGCAGTAGGCCTGTTTGCCCTCTGCAGGTATAACTTTTATGTAATGAAGCCATCCTGGTTTAGAGGTGTACTGCTACAGTATTGATCCCATTGGAATAAGCATTTCCTTTGGTGAGTGCTGGACCAGTATAAGATGTGCATCATGGCATTGCCGTCTGCAGATCCCATATTTGAAAGCAATGTGTTGAGCTTGGTAGATACCATATAGAATGACGTTGCCAGGGAAGGTCCACCAAGATAGGAATAAAGCAGATCTGGCCATAAGTGTGTTTAAATATGTGAGGAGTGAATGCAAGTTTCTCATTAAGAAACTGGGGGACTGTGGTGTCGACACCCACACAGTCATTTGGGTCGCCAACTGTCTGGAGGGCCGCACCCAGAGAGTGGTGGTAGATGGATCATTTTCAGCCTGGAGGGATGTGGGCAGTGGGGTTTTGCAGGGCTCCATCCTTGGGCCCGCACTGTTCAACATCTTCACCAGTGACTTGGACGAGGGTGTAAAAAGCACCCTGTTCAAATTTGCTGATGACACTAAGATGTGGGCACTCTAGAAGGAAGCAATAGGCTACAATCGGACCTAGACAGGTTACAAGGGTGGGCAGATGAAAACAGGATGGGATTCAACACTGACAAGTGCGAAGTGATGCACCTGGGGAGGAACAACCGGCTCCATACCTACAGGTTGGGGAACTCCCTTCTTGTCAGTACAGAGGCAGAAAAGGATCTTGGAGTCATCATTGACTCCAAGATGAACATGGGTCGGCAGTGTGGGGATGCTGTCAGGAAGGCCAACCGCACCTTGTCATGCATCCACAGATGCATCTTGAGCGGGTCCAAGCAGGTGATCCTCCCCCTCTGTGCGGCACTGGTCAGGCCTCAGCTGGAGTACTGCGTCCAGTTCTGGGTGCCGCACTTCAAGAGGGATGTGGACAACATGGAGAGGGTCCAGAGGCAGGCCACTCATATGATCAGGGAGCAGCAGGGCAGGCCTTATGAGGAGAGGCTACGGGACCTGAACCTGTTCAGCCTCCAGAAGAGAAGGCTGAGGGGGGATTTAGTGGCCTGTTACAAACTAGTCGGGGGTTCAACAGGCAGTGGGGAAGTCCCTGTTCCCCCGAGCACTGCCAGGAGTGACCAGGAATAACGGTCACAAGCTGGTAGAGGGTAGATTTAGGCTAGATATCAGGAAGCGCTACTTCACGGTCAGGGCAGCTAGGATCTGGAACCAACTTCCAAGAGAAGTGGTGCTGGCCCCTACCCTGGGGGTCTTTAAGAGGAGTTTAGATGAACACCTTGCTGGGGTCATTTGACCTCAGTAATCTTTCCTGCCGTGGCAGGGGGTCGGACTAGATCTACTCAGGTCCCTTCCGACCCTAGAAACTATGAAACTATGAAGCAGGAACAAGAATCACGCTCTGTTCTCTCACTGCTTCATATCTGTGTACAAACAGCTAGTGAGTGTATTTATTTCCCTTGCAGCTACTTGTCCATTTCTTTTCCTGAGCCTGTAAGCTTCCTAGATAAGTTGCTTCACATGAATGTTGAGCCTCTTTTGTTGTTGACAAATTGTCTGCTGTTTACAAAGCTAGGACCATCCTAGCTTAAATTGCAAGGGTGATTAAATGCATACAGCCTGAGCGGCTTGCACTTATCAACTGTGTATTTTGTCTCGGTAATTTACAAATGCTAAACAGGTGCAGTTTCAGGGAGGCTGTGGTTTCTCTTGAAGTAATCCCTGAAGTTGTTCAAAGCAGCTTGACTGATGTCTTTTGAGGAAGGGAGGTATCAGGAAACACTGTAGTAAATTGTGGGTTGAGGGGCATAGTGTGTGTTGAGTGTGTGATGCACCGGGGCCTGGGCCAGCACTTATACTGACTGATCTGTGCGGGTGGCTTCTCTCCTAGATATCTTGAAATGCTCCTTGAGTACCTGCAGGACTACTCGGATCGGGTGAAGCCGCTGCTGGATCAGAACGAACTCTTTGGAAAGATTCAGATTGAGTTTGAGAAGAAGTGGGAAAATGGCACGTTCCCTGGCTGGCCGGTGAGCTCACGTACACCCTGCCCGTGTAGAAAAGCTATAGAGGCTAGGAGCTTGGCAGCAGAGTGCAGCTGTGTGCCACAGCAGTTTGTACAAAGCTTGCTGCTTGCAAACTTTTCAACATGTGGGAGCTCTCTCAGATACTTCATCTGCATTGGTTAATGCTAAGAAGTCCCTCTGAAGAGTGGAAAAGCTGCTCTTGGGGTTTTAGGATACTTTTTGCGTTTCTGCTTACTGGGTTCTGTTGGAGTCTAACTGGGCAATGTATGTGCCTTTTATTGGCAGAAAGAGACCAGCAGTGCGCTCACCCATGCCGGAGCCCACCTGGATCTCTCAGCGTTTTCTTCATGGGAGGTACGTTCTCAGTATGGGACTTATCCCATGGGATCCCTGCTGGAACCCACTCTCCTCTGCTTCTTTTTGAGCTTTTATTTGTTGAAATATAATGGGTTCACAGCCATTTGCTGTGGAGAAGGGACAGGAGGTGGCCTTTGCTTTCTATCACTTGAGGTGGGATAACTTGGAACTTAAGGTCAGGCTTCTGCCATAAATGCCATTGCCCTGTGGAGGAGTGAGTTGCCTTACTTAATGCTTTATTGGTCTGAAATGGATGGGGCATATACTCCTGCTCAGGGCATGCTGTGAGCAGCCCCTGGAAGCAAGGCTGTTGTAAATTATAATTTACTTTAATTGTGCAGGAATTGGCCTCCCTGGGACTGGACAGATTGAAATCTGCGTTACTGGCTTTGGGTCTGAAATGTGGAGGGTAAGTTTATTCCCCTTTGTCTCCTTTCTGCATGGAGTATCTGTCCTTTCTCGTTCCAAAGATCAGTGCAGTAATTCTTTCAGTATAAGACAAAGCATTTTGCTGTTTAGAAAGCTCCAATAACTGGTCATGCCATGAACTCAGAATTATACTGGAGTTTAGCTCGTAATGTGGAGCAATAGGCTGAAAGAGCACATGGGAAAGCATGTCTAATGCAAGAGACTAAGCCCTGCTCCTCTGATCACTGGAACATGGTGCTTGTTATGGAAAACTGCACACCTCTAGTTTGATCTGGAATGTAATCGGTTGTGCGCGCTTAACATACTTAAGGTAAAGCTGCCTCTTGGCTTCCCCTTTCCTTCCTTGTGTCTCCTCAGGACCCTGGAGGAGCGGGCTCAGAGGCTGTTTGGCACAAAAGGCAAGTCCCTGGAGGCGCTTGATCCTTCATTGTTTGCCAAGAACCCAAAGACAAAAGGAAGCAAACGGTGAGTCCCCAAGGATTCCCTTCCTAGGGTGACTGAGGCCCCTTGCTGGGACTGGACCCACTCCCTTGGTTGTCTCCTTCTTTGTTTTATTTCATTTTTTGTTGTTGTTGTCCTTCTGTAAGAGACATCCTAACCCTCATAGGTACAAGTGATGGGGTCAAGATGTTCCTGGAGCATTAGGATGCTGTGCACACTGGGGTTAAATGAGCACTAAGCGGGCAGATGCAGGCCTGACCCTCCTGCAAGCAACACCATATGGGATGTTTGATTCCTTGCTTTCTTAGTAGCTGCTGGTCACATGCATCTCTAAAGGCTGAGCATATGCAGGGCATCTGCCATGCTTCAAGGGATTTTACCCAGTCTTCCTATCTATCTGTAGGGACACAGAGAGGAACAAGGACCTTGCCTTCCTGGAAGCTCAGATCTACGAGTATGTAGAAATCCTTGGGGTAAGGTGTTTTACTTCTTCCCTTTGAGCTTCAGGTGCCCTCAAGCAGTTACTGGAAGCTCCTTCCTGTCTTCCACTGTAGCCTTTCCTAAACACTGTGTGGGGATGGGAGTTCTTATGTCCAGTGCCTTAAGCACTTGGTGCCTCTCACAACAGAGGCTTAAATGGTTTGTTCCTGTCAGCAGTAATTAGAAGCTCACGTGCACTGGAGTTCACGTTCCTGAGCTGGTAGTGCAGAGGATTGGCTCTCTCCTGTGAGCAGCACATTGGGAGGCTGTTTCTGCTGTGAAAGTCTGTGACCCTTTAGACAGCTTCACTTCTGGGTGTCTGCTGTATCAGCAGGGAGAGAATGGTTTATCTCTAGGAGATTGAGAGCAATCGTGCATTCGTGTCTTTGCACTTGCCTTTTGTTCTTATGTCAATCTCTCAGCCAGGTAGCAGCCACCACTGATAAGCAGCTTGCTCATGCTAATCATAATTAAGGCTTACTGCAATCACCTCCTGGTCAGAAACGCATTGTGCTTGGTCTCCTGTTCCAAGTAGAACGGGCAGAGAGCTCTTGTTTGCAAAGCAGAGCAGTTGGGAGCAGATGCTGCTGAAGCTATCCTCTTTTCCTATTCGCCCACTGCCAACCTGTTGCAGTTCTTATACTTGTGTCCTTCCCGGCATCTTAGGAACAAAGACATCTCACCCACGAGAATGTGCAGCGGAAGCAAGCGCGCACAGGGGAGGAGAGGGAGGAGGAGGAGGAAGAGCAGATCAGTGAGAGCGAAAGCGAAGATGAGGATAATGAAATCATCTACAACCCCAAAAACCTGCCTCTGGGCTGGGATGGCAAGGTGAGGAGACTGATCTTGGGCTGCATCCCCACTGCCCTGTAGTTTGAGCCTTTCTTGCCCTCTGACCTAAGATGTGCCTGTCCTGATTTTTTTGTTTGTTTGTTTTTTTTTAGCCAATCCCCTATTGGTTATACAAACTGCATGGGCTGAACATCAACTATAACTGTGAGATCTGCGGTAACTACACCTACCGGGGGCCCAAGGCCTTCCAACGGCACTTTGCAGTAAGTCCTAGCATGACATTGAAACATCAGCTTATATTCTGGGTTGTTCTTGTGAGTGAATAGTCTTTCTTAGGGGTTGATGCCTTCAGGCCCAGAGGTGATGGCATCACATTTGAGCTCCTGCTTGGTGTGGCTGCTTTCAGGGGATGTTGTCTGGATCTCTCCAAGGCAGCATTTAAACAACCTTTCTCCTTATCTGTGGAAGGTCCCGCTCCTGGGCGGTAGGGATTGCAGTGTCCAGTATGGAAGTGATGCTACATTAGCTACGGGCAGTTTGTTGGCAAACTCCTTATTACAACAGCCTGGTTGATGAATCCAATCAAGCCTGGTTCAGTTTGAAGATTCTTGCTAATAATCTTTAGAGCACATTCAGGCACTAATTGGCCTTTTGGGGTGTTACATGCACATGCTCAGGTACCTGCATTTGTTAGTGGAAATGCTGTGTACCTGGCTGTGTCTTCTTGGAATTTGCTTGTGGTTCATAAGAGCCCAATTATAAAAGGTATGAATGAAGGGGCTCCTGAACTGTGCATTTCTGCATCTCACACATGTGCTGTTTACATGAAGGTGAATTTTACATAGACAGTGTTGGGGTGGGCAGGACCAAACCTTCTGTGTGTGGCCTCTGTTCACTTTGGGGAAATTCCTCTCCTGCCTTGTCAGTGAGCCTCTGTCAGGACTAAGCAGTTCCACTGAGAATCTCTGGCATGAATTCTGTGTTCCTGCCATTCTGCTGTCCTCATGGTCAAAGTGGGTTTCTCGCCCTTTCTTTGTGCTGTAAGAGGCTCGCAAAGGAAACAGATTGTAGATACAGTGATGTCGGAATAGGAGACAAGATTGGAAAGTCTGGAGAACGGTTGCTTCTGTGGTGTTCCAAATTCTAGATTGGGGTGGCAGGGGAAGGGAGAGGTTCAGTGTTCTTATGCAGGGGTGCTGTTGCCTGACTTCAGGAACATTGTGTTGTTCTCTCCTGCTCACCAATCTCACTCTGCCCCCAGGAGTGGCGCCACGCTCATGGGATGAGATGCTTGGGTATTCCCAACACCGCCCACTTTGCCAACGTCACACAAATTGAGGACGCAGTCTCATGTAAGTAATGTCAGCATTTCATATAGTTTCATAGTGCTTAGGGTCGGAAGGGACCTAAACAGATCATCGGGTCCAACCCTCTACCCCGGGCAGGAATGGGTGCCACAGTCATATCACCCCATTTCTCTGTTCAGAACAGGGAGGAGATGGAGTTGTTTCCTCTGCTGTTCTTCAGGGCACGTGTGGGAGTTGCTCACTGTTCCTGCTTGCTGAATGGCAGGCCTTCTCTCTGGGTCAGCACCTTGGTTGTCTGTCAGTAACAGGGGAGACTAGATGTAACCCTAGTTACAGTCTGGTCATGTGCTGTTCAGGGCCCAGACCTCTCCCTGTAACACAAGGAGCTTCCCAGGTAATGGCTCAGCCACTGTGTTCTGGCTCCTTTAAGCTGTGCAACTGTGTGGTGCCTATCAGCAGGCTACGTGCTGGTGTTCAAAGGAAGTGACCTTCTTGTCCTTGCTGGCTCTGTTTGCAGTGTGGGCAAAGCTGAAGCAACAGAAAGCTTCAGAGAGATGGCAGCCTGACACAGAGGTGAGCAGGGGTCACATGTCTGGGTGTCTCTGGAGCGGTTCCCTTGTTACCCTGCAGAATTTAGTACCAGGGCTTGCTGCCTGCCCTGCTTATTACATAAGTCCTGTTTGGTCATGCTGCTGGGTCCTCACTGGGGACATACAGCCCTGCCCTCCTATCTTTAGCACGTTGGAAGGGAGATACTTTCATCTAAACAACAGGCAATCTGCTAAGCTACAGCTGAAATTCTCCCCAGGGCAGCCCTCTGTCAGACCAGTATGCTTCACCCTCCTTAGTGCAGACAGACATGTCTTCTCCTTGCAGTCTGGAGACCTGTAGAGAGGTGTGGCGTTGGGGGAAATCAGAGTCTCCTGGCGGGAATTGGGGCAACTGAGTGTGTGTAGGTACAGCTGAATTTCAGACCAGGTTCTCTGGGCCCCTTCATGCTGCGTCCAGGTAACTGCAACTCGCCTTTCCCTTCCAGGAGGAATATGAGGATTCCAGTGGGAACGTGGTAAACAAAAAGACCTATGAAGACCTGAAGCGCCAGGGGCTGTTGTAGCCCTTTGCTCCAAGATCTCCATCCAGGGCACTTGGTGGAGCATCCAGAGCCTGTTCATTCCCCTCTCCGTGTGCGTGTTTTGTGTTCTGCATGAACATCCATTTCGCAGAGCCCCTTCCTGCTGGTGACTGGCAAGCCTGGGAGAGCTCAGTGTGTTTTATACTAAAGTGATGCTACAAAAAATAAATGGATTTTGCTGTAGGAAATGCCGAGTAGCTTGGTCTCATTTGCAGCCTGGTAAGGAAATGCCTGTCGTCTCCCTGCTGAGCAGCATCATCCCATCCCAGCCCCACGCTTCTGTCACCTACTGGGTCTGGTGGGACAGAGTGCACGTGAACATGCATTTGAGTCCAGTGTGTATGTTCCTTGGGGTCTCACTTAGCGCCAGTGGGACCCTGATGGCTCCCTGTGTCTGATGGGCAATGCCAATTTGGTCGAGGGTTGGGTTGGCCCCAGTGCAAAGACCCTTCTCATGTGTTGTGTGTGGAGCTGTGTTGCTGGGACAGGAAGATGGGAGACACTTTGGCTGTGTCTGGCTGGGATGCAGAATAAAGCACATGGTGTCTCTGGGGGCTCCAGCCTGTGCTTGATTAAACCTCGCCTTGGCGTGGAAGGGCCTAGCCTGACTGTCCATGGGCCTTGGCACCTGTGTCGGTGTCATGTTTTGCACTGGAAGTCCCACACTTCAATGCTGTCGTTCCTTGCTTGGTCCCAGAGGCGGCAGGCGTTGCTCCTGCCATTCTCGTGGCTGAAGAGTACTGTCATCCACGTGCTCGTTACCAGCCGTTGCCACTGGGTGGGTCTCGGCTGCCTTTTGCAGAACCGCTCGGTAGAGGGCACCCACACCACAGCCTAAGCTGGGTCTGTCCCTTTCAACAGGCACTGCTTGCCCTTCTGTGTATGGGTCAGTCCCCACTCAGGCTGTCAAACAGTTCCCTCTGCTCACATGAGTGAAGCTTTTTGAGATGCCTGGCTGTGTGGGGGGCCTGGCTGTCTCTGGGAACTGTCTAGAGGATGCAGCTCTGGTCAAGTACCTGGGTACTGGAAGTGGAATAGGAGTGACTGTTACCAAGCCAGCGAGATTTGCCTTCATTTTGGGCAAGCATGCAGAGCTGTAGGAGCTCAGCTTCTAGGGGTGGTGAAACTGGCACCTACATGAGGCTGGTTGCAGGCACTGCTTGGTGAGCTTTGGAGCCACTGAGCAAAGCCCCTACACCCACAGGGTCTGGTGGAGGCAGGCAGAAGGCACGGGGGTGGGGGGGTTACTGCATTGTCCTGTTCTTTGTAATATAAGCTGCCCTTGTGATCTCTGGGGACTGACTACCTGCCCCTATCCTCCCCACTAGGAACATCCAGTAATTCTCCCTAAATGGGTCATTGTGGTGAGTGGCTGTATGGGGTAGGGCCCTGCCCTTGCTGCAAGGCCCCATCTCCCTTGGGCTCCTCTGCCTGGCAAGGTTGTTTGGTTGGGAGTGTTACTCGAAACTCCCAGTGGCCAGAGCTCCTGTGGGGGAGCGGGTCTGGGATGACAGAGCATGTAATTAAGGCTAATTAGGCAGGCAGTCATTACCCCTGCCCTCTCTTTGGCCTGAAAAGGCTGGTGGAATTCAGCAGGGGCGGCTCATCCACTGAGCAGGACAACAGGAGGGGGCTTAAGACAGCTGCCCTGTGTGGAGCGACCCCAGCCCTGCCTGCAGCCCTAGGATGGCAATGCAGAGTTGCCGGAGCAAGTGCTTTTGCCTCTTCTGCCCAGGCAAAGTGGGTGCAAAGACGGCAGAAGCACAGAGCTGGGAGATGGCAGGGCTGCTTGCTCAGTTCTAGCCTTGCTGGGCTTTGCAGCAGGTGTTGCTGCTTCTGGGGGTCTCTGCCCTGCAGGGAGCATCCTGTGTTCCCCACCATCCCTTCCTTCCCCACACCGGAGCATGGGAGTAGCAGGCGATGGAGAAGGGGTGGTGCTGACCAGAGAACTGCCAGTCCAGCCAGTGAAGGCCCTCCCTGCACAGCAGCAGGCACCTCCCTTGGCAGCCCCCAACAGGGCAGGTAGCAAATGCTTCTCCCTGGCTGATGGGCTGAGCTGCTGGCTGTTGGCAGAGACGTGGGACTGCCTGCCTGGCACCGGCACGTCACACCTGAGCTGCACGTCCCTTGGGCAGCGAGCACGGCTGAGCACAGACGACCCACCCACCCCGGCTCCAGCAGCTGGCTGCAGAGCGGTTGGAGGTGAGTGAGCGTGACAGAGAAGAGAGCCAGGGCAGGGATGGGGAGACGGCCCTGGGACCTTGCCTGATTCTGCATCCAGGCCAGCCCAGCGTGAGCCCAAAGCCAAGAGGGGCCAGTGCTGGCACTGACTCGGACCAGGATGAAGCCATGCTGACTTGATGCAGTCTCCCTCCCTGTTGCATCAGGCTGCCTGATGGATGTCCCGCACATTGCACTGGGCTGGTCCAGGCCCATGCCATTTGCTTCTGCCAGTGCCCGGCGGCCTTGATTTCACGCATGATGCTGGGGCAAGAGATGATGTGGAAGGGCGGTGGCTGCTGACCCTGAGACCTGCCCCGTCCAGCCTAGCCCCGGAGCATCCCCGTCTCCTGCAAGGGGAGGTGGTGAGTGGCACCTCTGCCTGTTTACGTGCCCTGCCAATTAGGCACCCAAGCGAATGGGCTGTGCTTGCTGCTGGCTGAGCCCTGAGGGGCCGTTGCATGGGGAGGCTTGGAAACAGGTGTCTTCCAAGTCGTCCCCTGCCCCAGCCCCAGGTGCAGACGCTCCTCTGCAGTAGCCGGTGCAAGGCCTGGGTGCAGCCAGGACAAGCCGCAGCATCTCCCGTCCCCCTCGCTCCTGTCCCGGGCACTAGGACATTGGTCCTGGAGCCCGGCCGCGCCCAGGTAGGTCATTGCATCCTGCTCGCCACGTCTCTGCCCTAACAGGTTTGTGGGGCTGAGGGGCTCACCCGCCCCTCCTGCCTGGAGCACTGGGGTTGCCATGGCTCCCCCAAAAAGGCGCTGTGCTTAGAAGAGGCGCCTCTGCACAAGGGGGGATGCAAGGTGGTGATGGTCTGTGCTCAGCCCTCCCTGTGACTGGAGGGGGCCGACGGCGATGGGGGGCTGTTCCCTGGTGCAGGCCCTGGGGGAGTCCAGCCTGAGAAGAGGCAGGACAGGGGACGATGCTGGCTCTGACCCTGCTCTGGTTTCCCAGCAGCTCGGGCCCCTCAGTGCCAGGCAGCCCCCGCGTGCTTCCGCTCCCTGCAGATGCTGGCAAACACAGCGTTGCCTCGTCAACGGGCTCCCGCAGGCATCATTACCGGGGAGCCGTGGGCCCGGGGGGGGTCCTGCAGCTGGTTGCTATGGCAGGTTCGGAGAGCCTCGGGGAGAGCCATGTCAGGCTGGAGGGGCTGGCGCCGGTCCTCGGGCTGAGCGTGCAGCCTTCGCGGCGCTGCCTCTTGCACAGCAATGACCTGGAGCAAAGGGGCCTCTGGTCCCCTCCTGCCCCAGGCTGCCCAGGAGAAGAGTCGAGCACCGGGGTAGCCGGAGGGAATCTCAGGAAAGCCCCCGAGCACATGCCCAGCAGGAAGGCAACTTCTCCTGCTGGGATCTGGGGCACAGACCTAGTGCCGGAGCCTGGGGTTAGTGCTGGCAGGGCACCTACCAGGCAAGATCAGGGCAAGGCGTGAGCTCCATCGCCTCTGCCCTGCCGACTGGAGGTGGCTGCAGCGCTCACCCTGGGACGCTCGGCTTCCCCTTGCAGCTCTCCAGGGCCATTAGTGGGCTCAGGAGTGGACGCTCGGTGCCAGCGGGCAGAGGAAGCCAGAGTCCCGCGGGCGCCAAGGCCAGCTGTCTCGGGGCCGCGGAGCCCTGGGACGGCAACGAAGCTGCCCCCGAGGCCTGGCTTGGAGCTCGTTAACTCGGCGCTGCGGCTCGGCAGGCTCCTGTTGCCGCTCGGGGCCAGGGCGACAGCCTGCAGGGGTGAGTGCGGCCATGCCCCTCGGGCAAGGGGGCAGCCTCCTGGCGGGCAGCAGCTGGGCACGTCTGTCCTCAGCCGTCCCAAGCCAGGTCTGTTGAGATGGGCGGGTAGGCCTGCCCTGCGGGCACTCGCAAGGCTTTCCCAGCATGAACCGTGGCTGCAAGGAGACCCCGGGTTTCACTGCAGACGGCGCTGGGGAGCTGGCCTAGCCGGAGCCCTGCCGCACCCCTGCAGCGTGAGCCAGGGAAGAGGGGGAGCCCGTGGGCAGGACCCAGTGTGCCCGCGGGGCTGTGCCGCTGACAGCCGGCCGTGCTCCGTGGCCACAAGCCCGACTCTGCCTGTGTCTCCCCAGGGTCCAGTCGGAGTGAGCTGCCCCCAGCTGAGGATGGCAGGCCTCCCGCGCCACGCCAGCCCCGTCCCAGGTGAGAGCAGCTCCGTTTCTGGAGCGAGGGGCCGAGGACCATCTCAGCCTGCTCGGGGGTCGTTCCTCCTCCGGGAGTTCGGGTGCAGAGGCGGCCGCGGGACGTTGGGGACTCAGCCGGGCGCTCCAAGCTGCGGCTCTTCCTGGACCTCGGCCGGTCCCTGACGCTGCCTGTGTATCTCCGTCTCTTCCAGGCCTGCTCCTGCTCTGCCTTCTGGCTCCGCGCTTCAGCCCCCAGAGCCCTCTCGCTGCAGCAGGTGAGATGCCGGCAACCCGGCGGGGACAGGTGGCTCATTCCCTGTCCCTGCAGAGCTGGATTTGGGGAGACCTTACCACCATCCGTCCTCCCCTTACTGTCCCGCCGTGGCAGCTGGAAAGCCCCAGGTCCCCCTGCCCCTTCATGGGGCATTTTCAATCCTGGGAAAGGCCTGCTGGATGCCCTGCCCTGTGCATGTGGCTGGGACCACCAGCCCTTCACTTTCCCTGTGCGGTGCGTGGGTAGCGCGGTGTGCCTTGTGCTGACGCAGCACTCGCGTCCTTGTGTCTTGCAGAGCTCGAGCTGATCAATGCCACGTCTTCGGTCCCCAGCATGAACGGGACGGCAGACAGCCCTGTAAGGATGCGCCAGCGCTGCTCCGGTTCTTGTCTCGGCCAGGGCCGGGGGCTGCAGCTCGGCGGGGTGGCCAAGCCAGATCACGGGCACGGCCTGGCTCTGCAAGCCGTCTTGCAGCGGTGCATGCCAGCAGCATGGTGGGTGGGCAAGGCTGTCCAGGCTCCGCGGCTGTCCAGTGCTCACGGGCGCGTGCTGTCTCTGCAGCTCACCTGCCACACCTTCCAGTGCGCGGGGGAGAGATGCTACCAGGATCCGGCCTATGCCAATGACACTGGGTCCTGCCACAACGCCGCCTCCTGCGAGGTATGGGGGTGCTTGGCCCTGGGGTCAGCGGGCTGCAATCCTGCTGGGCTCCAGGGGCAGGGAAGGCAGGTCTGGTTGGATCCAGCGCCCTGACAGCCACCGGCACAGTGCAGGGGAAGGGGCCAGTCGCCTCTGGCACCGTGGCCCCTGGGTGCTGGCGAGCGCTGGCTCTTGAGCGGGGCGGTGTGGCCCTGGCCTGGCAGGGCACGAGAAGCTGGTGCCACGTCTCTTCTGTCTCCACAGCTCTACCGCGTCACCAGCGCCAACTACACGGCCCGGTGCAGCAGCGAGTGCGGGGGGGTGAACGGCACGGAGATGTGCATGACCAACGGCAGCATGCGCGCCAGCCCGTGCGCCCTGGAGTGCTGCAGCTCGCCCCTCTGCCTGCAGCTCAACGCCACCGCCTATGGTAGCCTGCCCGCGCGCCGGGCATCGGGTCCCCCGCGGGCACCGAGGTCCCGTGCTTGGCCTCACCTGCCCTTTCTCATGTCTGCTGCAGGTGACTTGCCGCCTACCACCACGCCGGCGCCCACCACCACCACCAGCACCACCAGCACCACCAAGGCCCCCCCGAGAAACGTAGGTCAGGGCAGGCTGGGGAGCCGCACTAGATGGGCCCGCGGACAGGCCTCTCGTCACATCCCCATGACGCTGGGGGGATTCCCAAAGGGGGTTTGCTTCTCGCCCATGCCAGGAGAGAGGATGGGGCATCCCACAGCCCCTGCTAGAAACCGCCCAGGTTGCATGTAACACGGGGCTCTGACCCCCCCACGATGCAGCCGTCTCTACCGCGCCGGCTTTGTCTGAGCTGCTCATTCAGGGCAGGCCCTGCCCGACAGTGCCCAGCTCAGACTAGAGCCCAGGACCCAGCTGAGCGAGTCCCCCCCCCCCACAGGGAGCATGGCACCAGCACCAACTGCCCCCTCCAGCCCTGGCCCCCGTGCACCAGCGGCTTCTCCCCCCTTCTCTCGCAGGGCAAAGTGTGCGCGACCTTCTCCTGCCGCGGGGACGGCTGCTTCAAGGGCAAGAAGCCTGCTGGCCGGTGCATCGTCGGCTTTGACTTCTGCGAGGTACCGCAGCTGCCTGCTGCAGCAAACGGGCTGCGGGGAGCCGGGAGCGGGGCGGGCAGCTCTGGGCACGGTGGTGCAGCCACACTGCAGTTGCTCTGGCTGGGGGTGTTTGTGGCTCCTGTGCTACCCCGGGGTGCTCCAGGCACGGGGCTCGCTTTCCCCAGCCTCCAGCAGAAAGCCTGCGTAGGCAGCCAGGCTCTGCGACTGCGAGCCTGAGGCGGGCAGGGCCAGGCCACACTGACCCCGGTGTCCTCCCTCCTTGCAGATGAAGAAGACGGGCTCGAGCTATGTCGCTGGGTGCAGCAAAGCCTGCAAGACGGGCAAGCCAGTGTGCGCCAGTGGCGTGGCCACCACCTGCTACCAAGAGTGCTGCCCCGCCGGCCCCAAGGCCAGCTGTCTCAAGCTGGATGGCCACGTGCACGTCAACGGTGCCGGGCGGAGGGCTCTGGCCCCGATCCTGCAGCTCCTGGCCGGCGGCGCGGTCTTCGTCCTCCACTACTGCGTCCTCGCTGCCTTCCAGGGTTAAGCAGGGCCTGCAGGCTGACTAGGGGCTGGGGGACCCTGGGCACGCACTAGGATCGCTGTAGCTCTCTCCCTTCGGCTAAGGCTTGCTAGGAAACTCCCTCTGCTCAATCGTGCCCAGGCAGAGAAGAGCCTGTGGGCTTCTTCCCATCCCCGCAGGACGGCTTCTGGCTGTTGCATGCGCCCATTTGGCCCAGGGCGCCTGGGGGGATGGATTTCGGGGTTGTCCCAGAGGACCGCTTCTCCTGTGCCTGGGGCTGGGCTGGGAGAGGCCAGGGACAAAGCCAGTCTACCCGCTCAGGCACTTGGCCAGCCCCGCTTTAGGCTGCTGGGGGCAGGAGCAGGGAGACGTACACCTGAGGGGTCCCCGGACCTGTGCAGAGGGGAGCGCCATGCTACAAGCCCCCGTGTTGTCGCAGGCATGAAGGGTGCCCCTCCTTGCAGGCAGGCTCTGGGTCTGAGGCTGCAGCTGCCGTCAAAGCCCACCCATCCTCTTGGGAGCGGGATTCCCCTGCCCAAGGAGCCACCCCTCTAAGCCACTGGCCACGAGCTGCGTGCTGCCAGGGTGCCTTCAACACCAGGCCTGTAAAACCTCCCCCCAGCTTTTCCCTTGGTGCCTTCAGCCCCCAAAACCAGTGGTGCTGGGGCCAGGCCTGCCCCACGTCCAGAGGCCGACTCCTCGAGCACCGTCAACCCTGAGCCCTCAAGATTGTGCCTGTCCCCGATGCGATCCAAAGCAGAGGTACAGCCCAGGCACCGAGCAGGCAGGAAAGCTGCAGGTGTCACTGCCGAAACCCAGGCCTGTGTGGGACTTGTAGAGCGTGGAAGCGCGGCGCTGTCATCCTGGGGGTCGGGGGTGACTGGAGCGGGGTGGAGGAAGCCTCACAAATCCTTCTGTAAGTCCAGGCCCAGGCAGGGTCAAATGAAGGATGCAGCATTTCCCCTCTGGCATCTTAGACAAGGAAATGAGGTTTTTTCCAAAGGCTGCCCAGGTCCTCAGTGCTGCTGTTTGGAAATCCCTGGTGCAGAGGTGGTTCGCTGTAGCACCATGTTAATCTGGGCTTAGTCTGTTGCTAAGAAATCCGGTGCCACCTGTTCCTGCCCCAAGGCTGACAATGCAAGACCCATCCCAGCCCGTCCGGAGCCGTGGGCCAGACCCCGTCAGCCCAACGCTGCTCACGGCTGTGCCGGCGCAGGCACCGCTGGGAACGTCCTGCTCTGCTGCCGTCGCGTCTCAGACCCCTTCCCCTGCAGAGACGTCCTCTATAAATAAATACGTGCGTCAACCCCAGTGTTTTTAATGACCGTTTGCGCCTAGCACCTGTCACCTCCCACCTGGCGTTCGCCCTGCACCTTGCTGCCTCCCTCCCCAGTGCTGGGATGTCTCCAGGAGCCACGGTGAGGGTAGCACAGGGGCGAGGGCAGCCAGGCCCCAGGAGAGGCTGCTCCGAGCGCGTGCACGTGTTGTTGCAGACTCCCGGATCCTCAGCCGCCCACGGCATCGCTGCAGCCGGTGCTGGTAGGAGCCAGACCGTCCCGCCTTTGCTATGTGCAGGGCTCGGTTCCTGGCACCTGCTCGCATGGGGCTGCACAAGTGCTGATTTGCATAACGAGACAGAAGCTCCAAAGTTTGCTCGTGCCAGCTGGGCTCTGCTAGCGCCAGGCATGGCTGCGTTTCAGTGAGAGATGGCCTGCAACGCTGGTGGAGGAGAGGGTCTTTCCCAGCCTTCGTGGCTCTGGGCAGGAGTTTATTCCAACACGCCCTGCAGATCTGAGATGCTCCCTGGCTAGACAGGCCTCCACCCTCCAGCCTGGCTTTTCCGGGCTGCCAATAAACTCACACAAAAGCTTCCAGGTGTTTGCTCTCAGCCGCCGAGGCTCCCAGGCACAGCAGCACGCTGGAAAAAAAAGTGCCTCAAGTCTGTAATCTAAGGTAGGAAAATAAATGGAAGAAACAAACCCTGAGGCTTGTGGTTTGCGTTTCCGTACTGGACCACAAAGCCCCGTCTTGCAAGAGAGACAGGTGCAGGTTAGGCCTGAGAGTCAGGCTCTGCTTTAAGAAAACAAGGGCTGGTGTGATATTGTGTTTTTCCTTTGTGGTCATGGCCTGACCTCCCCAGCTGTGTCCCGCAAAACCCAGCCCCGCAGCATCCTGCCAGAGCCGGAGCAGCAAAAGGTCTGCGAGGCCGTTCTCGTGGCACAGGCTGAAACGCAAACACGGCGGGGAGTAGATGAGAGGCTGTCGCTGACAGCAAGGATGGAGATGTCCATCTGCCGCTCTTTGGGGCAGCACCACCAGAAGTGGTTGTTTTTTCTTCTTTTTTTTTTTTTGAGTAAAGGGTTAAGGGTGGAGGACCTCAGTGCAGGCTGGGAGCACGGGGCAGCGGGGACGCTGGGAGTTGAAGTAAGATCGCTGACGGCAGGCTGCGGAGAGGTACCGTAGTAGTACAAGCTGCCTTGGTCCCCTGTCTGCGAGTGACAGCCCCGAGGGAGCACGGCGGCTGGGGAAAGGCACCCAGCAAAGACAGGCCTAGCTTTGGGGAAGCAAAGCGGCCTAGGTGCCAGCTCGCCTGGTGCGACCAGTGCTGGGGAGGTGGGCGCACGGGGTGCAACTCGGCGGCCTGGTCCCTGCAAGGGAAAGCTGTCTGGACGGTTGGCGCCAGCCAGAACAGCCTGCCAGTGCCAACAGCCCCCTAGATGGGACCCAAACGGCTGCAGCTTGTCCCCTTGGGATAAGCACCGAGCTGGCTGCGGAAACAAAGGCCAGCCTGTTCCTCTCGGGAAGGCCAGGCCCGGGGGCTGCTCCCAGTCCAGCCCACGACAGTGGCGCTGCTCGCGGGAAGCCGCTCTGCAGCCCCGCAGAGCCGGGACGCCCGGGAGGGGAGCGCGGCCGGCGCAAGAGCAGGCCTGAGAGGAAGTGGGAAAGCAGCCAGAGCGGAGCGCGGCAGAGGAAGCGGGGAGGGGGCCCAGCAGGCAGGGGGGCTCCAGCTGCAGGAGGGACACGGTCTCTGTGCTCTTCTTGTCCGGTTCCAGGCAACGGGGCCGGCGGAGTTGGCTCTTCCAGGCGGCCGTGGGAGCATCCGAGCGCTGGGGCATTGCCAGTCCGAGTCCTTTGCGGGAGCGGGGCAGCCGGGAAAGATTTGGCACGACGGCGGCAGCTGGTAGGGCCGTGGTTTGCACTGCTCAGGGGCAGGCCCGCGTTCAGCAGGCCCCTGCGAGCACGCGGGGCCACGTTGCGCTGCCGTACCCCTGGGCGGGCAGGGCCGGGTCCCTAGGCCTGCGCTGACGCGGTGCCCGGGGCTGCCCGTGCTCTCAGTCCCAGCGGCGGGGCACCCTCTTGTGGCCTCTCATGACAGCGCCGTGGGGATCGGGTCTGGGAACGGGCAAAACTCGCGCGCAGGCTTCCTCCCCGCTTTGCCTTCCAGGGCTGGAGGATGGACCAGTCGGTTGCTATTCAGGAGACGCTGGCAGAGGGGCAGACCTGCCTGATCGTATCCTTTGTGTGGGGAAGGGGATGCTACGCAGGGCCGTGGAGACAGGACTCTTCCCGGTGACCCGATCAGCCTCTGTGTCCCTGCTCCTGTTGCAGGGCGCTGGCGTGGGCGCGGCGCTAACCGTATCGACCCACCACCTGGGGTCCCCAAATTGAGCAAAGCCTCCTCCGCCCGCTGCAAAGATCCCAGCCCCGGGGCAGCTCCCCGCGTGCAGAGCGATCAGCAAGGCAGGGGAAGCAGAGTAGCAGGGCAGAGCCGAAATAGCAGGAGGCGTTTTAAGAGGCTGGGGATGCAGCCCCTGCCGAGTCAGGAGCCCGGCCTACCTCCCGCGGCCGCGCTGATGATTCCTTGACCACGAGCCGCAGGCGGTGCAGGGCGTCCTGGTGGGCGTCGAGAGCGTGGAGAGCCGGCTGCTGGGCCTCGTCCGGAGCCACGGAGAGCACGCGTAGGTGCTTGAGACCCCGCCGGCCTGAGCGCCCTCTTGCTGGCCGCGCGAAGCCGAAAGGCCGTGGAGCGGCGCTTCCTCAGGGCTGGGCTTTGGTGGGGCCATGGGGAGGAAGCTGGATCTAGAAGCCCGGGCTGCAGGGGCCCTTGCTTGGCGCTTTTCCCCAGCAGATGACGGGGTCATTTACCAACGGTTAAGCGGGCCAAGGGACGGGGTGGGAGCTGCAGCCGGCTGCGCGAGCAGGGCACCACGCTGCTGGGACGGGCAATTTGGGATCCCGCTGGGGGCTGCGGCAGAGGTGGTGTTACCTGGTGCTCCGTGCCTGCAGGATCTTCATCTACACCCACCGGCGGATGGCGATCACGGCAGAGGACGTCTGCCTGGAGAGGGTCCTGCCCATCGCCGAGGGGTTTGCTGTGGAGGAAGGTATGGCTCCACGGGGCCGGGGGGGCAAGCGCTCTTCTGCGTGCGGCTCCGCTCCCCGAAATCTGGGATTGCTCCCCGTCTCGGCGACTGCCTCCGACTCGTCCGGTGCTTTCTGTCCCCCGCTCCGCCCGTCCCTCGCCGGCCGGTCGGTCTGTCGGGGCGCTCCTGCAGCGCTCCCTAACCCAGCACCTTTCCTCTCCTGACAGTGACGCCCGACAGCGACCTTCGTGTCATCGGTGAGTCCCCGTCCGGGGTGCCCTAACTCCTGCGGTAGCCCCGAGGTGCAATGAAGACACCCAGAGCCTTGGGGAGCAGCCGGGCTG